CTGCTTTGTTCCCTGCTGTGGTCGAGATGAACTCGAGAAAATCTCTGCTGCTTGACCACAGTTGAACCGGCCTTACTCAGTTACCATCAATCACATTGCATCCCATCACCCTAAAGGGGCCTACACGGCTCCGCCTCGTACAGTCCACTCACAAGATAACCCCCCCCCTCCTCCTCCCCATTCCCAATTACCTTCCACTACTGTAATATTCACGCTCACATACAGCAGCTCCTCTCCGTTACACAAGCAGGGAGCCGCTGAGTGTGGTGAGCTAATGAGCACTGACAACCCTTCCAGCGCCACTTCCCCACTTTTTTCTTTGCTGTGCAGCTGCACTGGCTTGTTGAGTCCTTACCTGAGAATAGATGAGGATTAATTAAAAAACCCTCGTTGTACTTTTAGTAGAGCCTGATGATTCCCAGAACAGACAAGTGGTGTTTGAAGGAAGTAGTTGAAACTTTCCGCTGTAACAGCATTGCTAGTCCCTTCTTTGAAAATGCCTGGAAACAAATTTCTCTCACGTGTGTTTTCTGAAGGGTGATCTGTCTTTTCTTTTCCCTCCAGATCAACATCAGTGTAGCGCTTCAAACATCATGTCACAGACAGATGCTAACTTGTCTTAGCTTTTGCCCTGCAGCAGAAAAAAAAGAGTCTATCTATAGGGAGCGGCTCTCCAACGCCGTATTTGTTTCTCATCAGGTCGAGCAAAAAGTTGCTCAACAGTCAACTTGCTTTGAAATGACATGAATGGGGATCAGCGACAGGCTGCCTGCTAGGTGTCAAGTCAGAGTGCTCATACTGTGGTTCCAAGAAGATGCACAGAAAACTTACTGCACAGCTATTGTCAATATATCTAACAATATATAATATATATGTTCTGTTGCTGTGTATGATGCTGCCAGCTGGTTATTTTGAGTGCAAAAGGCATGTTACTTTAAGCAGGACATATGAGAAAATATTCACTTCCCCATTTCTGTTTCATTGTGTTGCAGAATCTTAGTGGATGTTTTGCACTTTTGACAGTGAAAAAATATCTTTAAATAAAAAAAGGTAAAAAGGAATTTACAGCTATTAAGCTGTAATTGTAAGACATCCACCCAGGACTCAACTGGAAGTTAAAGATTACTTTACTTTTTTTATTTTTCAAGACAAGACTCAAGTTACTTTAAAGGAATAGTTTGACATTTTTCTGAAATACTCCTATTTGCTTTCATCCAAGGGTTAAATGAGAACGTTGATACCACTTTCACTTTCTGTACGCTAAATATGAAGCTGCAGTCAGCAGTCAATTAGCTTAGCTTAGCATAAAGACTGGAAACAAAAGGGGAAACCGCTAGCCGGGCTCCAAGCACATCACTAACACACTACTTGTAGCATGTAATCAAAGAAGACGACTTTGTTTTTGCTTAGCAGCCTTGTCCCTAAAGGATATACTCCATCTGTATTTCAACAACTTGACTTTGCTGCGACACGTCTGCAAGCCTGAATTTGTGGAATATTGTGAGGGGGAAAAGGGCCAATTACGTGCTTTGAAGGCCTGAGCCACCATTTAGGTTGAGTAACTGTGGGAAAGTAGGAGACAAATGGGATCTGGAGATGCGGCCCTTCTAAGAGTTAGAGCCACAAATTAGGGACCCAGTGTCTGAAATGTTTCGGGTATTCTTTAGCTTTATGTCTCAGCCGGTGCAGCAGATGTGAAACCAGACTGTGCGAGAGGACGAGTCAGGTCCACGAGTTGTTTCGTGTGGCAAAAAGGAAAGCCCACAAAATACCATCTTCATATTGCTCTTGCTTACGTGACTAAAGATTAGGGGTGGGAATCACCAGAGATACGATACTTGGGTCACGATACGATATTATCACGATACTGCGATATTATCACGATACTGAGATATATTGCGATTTATTACTTTTTTCAACTTCAAATTATGTCCCCAAAGGAAAACTGTGTCAACATGTTTTATCGAATAAGATACAGTTTTCAGTCTGTTCATCTCACTTCAATCATTTTTATTGCAGCAAAATAGGATTGTCAAGCAGACAGACTGACCAACAATGTCCTAAATGTTGCATGAACCTGACAAACTGAACTGTTTGTATTACTACATAGTCCAACTTAACTAAATGCAAACGTGTGGACTCAGTATATGAACTATAACTTATATAAGTAGGATATAAGTGTTATATAACTCAGTATAACTTGCGATGCATGGACGTCGAGGCAGAGAGCCAGTTATGCGCTGCACACTCCCCATGAGCCTGGCTACTGTTGGCAGATTTAACCCCGTTGTGAGGCCAGATGTCTCTCTTTGTTTTGACCAACTTCCTACCAATCACGCTGACCCAGGACCTTTCCTGACCTCACCAGAATACAACTCAGCACCATCTAGTGGACTGAAAAAGCAATTGATTTGATTGATATATATATATATTTTTTTAAATAGTTCATGTAATAAAAGATCGATACTTGGCGTCCATGTATCGATACAATATCGCCACGCAAAATATCGCGATACTATGCTGTATCGATTTTTTCCCCCACCCCTACTAAAAATGCGGTAAACACTCAAGTTATTACTTGACTGGCTCAAGTGCTGAAAACAACAGCAATGGGAACAGAAAGGCTGGATGAGAAGCTTGAAAAGCCATTTGGCATGACCTTCATGACTGTGCATATACTGGAGACCAGATTGACTCTGAGTTGATTGATTCGTACTTCCTGGTCCCACTCAGACTGTGACAAATTCCTCGAGAGTCCCCGGAGAAGATCCGGGAACAGCTTGTGACATTGTCTTGATTGGGCTCAGCTAATTCAGAGAGGAGAATAAGTCGGATTTTTACACATCACTGATATTAGAATGTAAAAAAAGGCAATACGTGTGACGGATATCTTTGCAACCCAAGACGGTTCGAGCACAATGAAGAGGCGGATGAAGGCATTAGAGTGAGGCAGAATGTGGGTGGAGGTGTAAGATCAGCTTTAAGTATAGAGGAGGAAGGTAGAGAAGAGGCGGACGTGAAGTAGTTGTTGAAGAGCTCGAGCAGGAAGTGCAGGTGGCGTTTCTCATATCAGCTTGTCTCCGGATAAAACTGATCAACAAAGAGGTCGATCAAAAAGGGCTTTCGCACCTTTATCGTTTGGTACGGTTCAAACTAACTCTACAATGTATCTTTTCTTTTCCCTCCTTGGTCCTGACAAAATGAACCAAACTACAAGTGACCTAAGAGTGTGGCCTTTTTATGTTCATAGCTTACCTATTCTAGCATGCCGCCCGCATGATTTATGCTCTTCTTTTAATGCCAAAAGTGAGCATTTAAATACTTTTTGCATGATACAGTATCTGCATGGGATGTATTTGTTGAATGCAGACGAATAAAAACTAACTTTTTGCACTTTTAAACCAAGCATCAAAGCTGCTGTAAGCTGTTATACAACTCAAGTGACCTGGACTCATCTTCCTGTGGTCCAAAGGTCTCGGCTGGCCCGCGATACAGTAGTTAAGTGTTGACCCCGGGCCAAGTGTTCTCCAGAGGGGAAGCCTATACACGTCTACATTTACGGTGCCACTGCATGGATCAATGGACCAGTCGCCTCCGTTCTGCTGAACCATGGAAAAACCCAACAGGCGCTGGTAGAGGGGGGAGTGAATGGGTGTGTGTGTGTGTCTGTGTGTGTGTGTGTGTGAATGCTAGTGTGTCTGCATGGAGGAAGTGCTCTTCAAGAACGAGCGTTAATGTTGACCTACTTCGTCACCGTTTGCCGTGGTAAAAATCTACTGCCGAGGTGCAACAGTGAATATTTTCCAGGAAGTGGAAGGTGTTTCACCTGTCACTGTGGAGCCGAGCCGTGAAGTGAAACCTCACTGACAATGCGCTGAAAAGGAAAAACACTGATTTCGTTCCATCAAACCCACATCATGCCGTCACTGCTGCACTCTCACTCTGGATCATTCTCTTAATCAGAGCGTGGGTTCATCTGGGTATTCCAATGCCTTGAAAAGAGGTTGCACGGTAATACCACACGGCCAACGAGGAGAGAGTGCCGGCGCTAACCATGGAAACGCTACCAAACTTGAATTCATTCATTACTCATTTAATGGGCTTGTAAGCGCAGCCACTAGAAACCCACAAAAGGGGGAAAGCAATCAGCGTCCCACTCAGGCCTCATCCAAATTTGGCACAGGGGGGTTTCACACACTCGTGAGCTCCTTTATTCAGGATGAGAAACTTGGATGAACTTTAAAACTTTTCGGTCAGCGTGTAATTGCAAAGAGCAATGAGTGCAAAGCGGGGTTCCTCCACCAATGCACAGGGCCTATCAGTACTATTTAAAGGAAACGGATTGATCGTGGTCATGCAGAGACATGAATACACACACACACACACACAGATTAAAATCTGTGAATCTACACTGTAGTACATTATATTTGTAACTCAAGTATTACCTATAGTCTTTTTTGTTGTTGTCTGGTTGCACAAAGGTGACATTTTATACAGTAGTACTGGCGCACACACACACACACACACAGCACGGGTTATTTTGTTCCTACTTCATCCTCATTGCTCCACACACACACACACACACACACACACTCTGGATGAACTTTGAAGCCAGTAGGCCTACAACTACAGTAGCAGTGAACGAGATCAATTCCAGTGTTTCTCTGAACTTTTTCATGGACACACTTTATATAGAGAGCGCTCCATCTGCTTCACAACTTTATTTGGATAATGAAATAATCACTCCTGAGCGTCACATTCGACATCACAATGAAAGGTTCCCCCACTCCCCACTCCCCGCCCTCCTTCCTCCAAAGGGGCCCCTGGGGGTCCCCAACCGGCTCCCATTCAACAGGGGCAGCCCACTGGCTCTCTCTCTTCTCTCCGTGAAAAAAAGCGCCATGTTGAGGCTCCGGCGCTGCTGCTGCTGCTGCTCTGCACTGGGCGAGACGCTGTACGAAAGAGGCGCACCGGAGCAGGGCCGCGCGCTCGGGGCTTACCTTTGCGATCGCCTTCTTGTACCTCATGGCCGCCTGCTCGATGAGGCTGTGGACTTGTATATTCCCATCTCTGCACGGGACGACCACCCGGGTCCTCCCGAAACACACCGTCACTTTCATTATCACCTCCGCCGCGTTAATCCCAACGAGGAAAAAGCCGCGTCAGGGCGACGAATGGAACCATCCCCGGAGCGCGACAGTGAAAACAAACTTAAAATCCTCGGTTGTTGCGACGAGGGAGGTTTGAAGTGAAGTTGTCTCCGTGCCCTCCTGGAAGAAGGGGGGAAGCCCGGCATTGGATCCGGCAGGCGGCGGGGCTGGGTTGGCGTCCTCCTTGTGCGTGTCTGTGTGTGTGTGTGCACGCCGCGTTGACTCACTTTACAGAAACTTCCCAGCTAGAAGCCTCTCCAGCGAGAGCGCACCACTGGACTGACACATAGGAGCGCGTCCACATGTCGGAGCAGGCTCCAAGAATGCTTCCCCCACGCCGACCGATAGGCTGCGGTGCAGGTTTTGTAACTGAAGGCAAACAGAGCCACTTTACATCGCTTTGCTTAGTGATAACTGAAAGTTGCATAACACTTGGATTTGCTGTGTGTGTTTTTTTTCTTTTTCAAAGTAGGCTAAACTAGTGGTTTAGTGGAGATCTTACAAAAACAAAACTCCCTCCACACACACTTTACCCCAACCCATTTATACCAGAGTCTACCAGTATATTCCCTCTGTTCCTCTTGTTATAGCTGTAGGCCTATGGCAGTTAGTTTGTAATCATATATATATATATATTGAGGCAAATTGAAGCGATTGCAACACAGACATCCTGACGGGCCCCCCTCCCCGAGGGCCTGAAGCAGTTTTCCAGACAGATTCTACCTGCTGTACAAACACTAAACATGCAACTCCTCAGGGGTCAGACTATGTCGTATCAGACACAGATCTCGTGAGTTTGGGAGTTATGGTTATAGGTAAACCCTGACACGTTAAGTGCTGCAGGTCTATTGCAGAAAGTATGAGACGGACTGAATGAGCGTAACTCCACCAGCAAGAATCGAGGTGCCGAGAAGAGCACTGATAGCGAAGCATACGTTAACGTTATGCATATATGACTATAAATGATTGAAACGCAGTGCATAAAAAAGGAGAGATGGGCCTAAGGCTGGATCTACGGTATGACCCAATTTACTGATAAAAGCTGCAACCTTTTCTGTGGAGCTTCTCTCACTTCCCCGCAAGCTCTTGGCTCTTTATGATCTAATGCAGTCCAAATGAGTGAACATGAACACCAGCGGAAGACGGACAGCCCCCTTTTTATTCTCCAAACTATACTATCACTGCTCAAATATTTGTTCCCTAATGCTCTCAGCTTGTTGCCCTTGAGCATCCAAGTAGAACCTAAAAGATTAAACTTTTCCTTTTTTTTTTTTTTCTGACTCCAGATCAGAAGGTTGTTGTGTTTAAATCCTGTCAGGGTCAAACCATTGATATGAAACAATATATTGGCTTGTTCTAGACTTGGAAAATATTTCAGTTAGGCCTCCCCATCTGGTCGTACATTATGAACTACTCCCCTGTGAAAACTGCTGCTCCCTTGTGTATAAATAGTACCCCCCCCTGGTGGCCAAAACACTCCCTCAAACAGCAAATCAAGGTTTTTCTTCACCTTTTGCATTCCTGGTGTCACGTCGACGTCTCGCTTATATCCACATTCATGAGCCAAATGTGTGTGTGTGTGTGTGTGTGTGTGTGTGTGTGTGTGTGTGTGTGTGTGTGTGTGTGTGAGAGAGAGAGAAAGAGAGAGAGAGAGAGAGAGCGAGAGAGAGAGAGAGCGAGAGGAGGCAGTGGTGGAAATTAAGACGGTGCCCGCCGGACCCGTCCGCTCCACATTTACAGACTTGTCCAGTGCGGAGAAAAGAGCGGCAACGCTGTACTGACAGTGGGGCGTTATTTCCGTGGCCAGACGTGCTCCGACAAGGTCCCGAGAGTGGAGGGGGTCATTCACAGACTTACCTCACCCCCTGAGAATCCAGCACCGCACAGATCCACTCATTCATAAGTGTGTGTAATCTACTAGGTCCTTCCTCTATACCTCCACCTTCTAATACCACCTTTATGTGTCCCTCTATTCAACCTTTTACTGATCTATGTTTAGTGGGCTATACTTACTTACAGATGCCTCCTTGGTTGGTTCCCCCGTCACGTCTAAAGACATTTAAAGTGTGGCGGAACAATACTTTGAAGGCCAGTAACAGAGTTATCAAGTCGCCAGTCTAGCCTGGTCACTATAGCTGACTGTTCACTTTAATCATCATTTATTGAGGGCAGGCTGATGGTCACAAAGATGTTTTTTTTTTTAAAGAACAAGTGGCTTGATTTTGTTTTGCAATGGTTCAGAAGCATTTCTGGTGCCGGATTAGAACATATGCTGTGCGTTTCAATACCCATACTACCATACTATATATAGTATGTCCCAATACCATAGTATGACAAAAATACCATCATGTCTTAGCCTACTGCAGTATGCAAGCCAGCATGTTTTGCTGCAAACAATAAGGAAGTATGTCTCAACTGACTGCACGCTGCACGCAACAGAGGGCTCTTTGTACAGGCAGCCGCGGTGTGCGCTCAAAGTAAAAAGAAGAAAGTGTGTAATTTGGAATGCAGCTTGAGTGTGCGAATTGGCGGGGTTCGAACCCACAATGCCAAATAAACCCGGCTTTGTGTTCAAGCTAAGTGAAGTGGAGTCACCGCGTCCCCGCGTCCAATACCAAGCAAGGGAGAGAAAAGAGTATGACATCATTGGGACACTTCATGCAACATCCGCCCAGTGGCACGATTAAGGCTGATGTCTGCAGTGTTTTAAAGTTGTTTAGTCAGCATATGTATGCATATATATACAGTACATATATACATATATGTATATATGTTGGTATAAATATATACGATGATATACGACGATGTGCACCTTGAAAGAGGACGTAACGTTACAGAGCTAGCTCCGCCAATATTAGCAACCTAATGTAACGAAACAGACCAAGTGAAACATTATCTGAGATGTTAACAGTTCAATAATCATGAAGACAAATCAATACTGGAGACTTTGAATTTCGGGTGATAAGCGTAACTTTACCTCGACTCCTCGGTTGATCTCCACATGGCTGTTGCTCAGAAGGATGAACTGAAGCTGTTGTGTCCAAAGTCAGGTTTATTGTAGGCAATAAGCAGTTAGAATAATATATAAATAATATATATACATTTTTATATATCGTCATTACAGACACATTGACCTGCAATAGACAGTACGTTGTAGATGGAAATTTACAGCAATTCATTACAGTGCACCCTGCAGAACTGCAACACTGTCGGTGTTTGGTTTAACTCACACATAACAATGTCAAACAGGACTTAAATGGCATCTCTGCCACCACCACAATCTGATGCAAGCTGAGGCCCCCTCCCATTATTGGGGTTAATTCAAGTTTCCCTTATGACAGCCATTAACAGTTGTTACTGCAGCACCTTGACTTTATAATGAATCCCTAACAGCTCAACTCAAAACATAACACTACAATCCAACCCTACCTTTGACTAATGCAGCAGACCATGAACAATGAAAAAGACAAAGACTCAAACAAGTGTCATGTTTGTGTTGGCTAATAATAAAATTCACTGACCCAATGTATCCTACAACGACATATTTATTGATAGCTGAGAGGCTCCATCTGCTGGCTCTGAAATGCGTTACACCTTTTCTTCTCCAGAAATCTCTCTTTTGTGTGGATTAAGTTCAAAGCCTGTAACTGCTGTGTTTGAGGCCAGTGTACACTGTGAACACAGAGAATGGTGTTAGCACTCTGATATCATGGATTTGCCAATGCTGCCAGATGCTTTTGCTTTGTTTTGCTGCATGCACGTTCTGTCTTGCAACGTTTGATCCCCGTGTAGCCCAACAATAACTCTTCCTGTTGTGCATATGGCATTTTAAATCTGTCTATTGATAGTATAAATAGCCCCATGTGACATCTATGACTCACATCAGAGTATACATACACTGCTGTGTGCTTTTATATCTAAACAAAATAGAGAGCAGGAGTAACTAATGAATGATGGTGTGAAGATTTAAGTGATGGCTGGTTCTGTTCTCTGGCAGTATTGGTTTTAGAGACACTTATTGACAGGGGGGGGATACATATCACACCTTGACAGATTTTAATACCCAGAAATCCTCTGAAATGATGCCAGTAAACTGACTTTGGTCACCAACATGGCTTTATAGCAAACAGGACATGGGGAGTCGAGGATCTAAGGTTGGTGAGTCTGATTATAAGTGGACAGAGCCAATGATTGTGTTTTCTAACCAATGCACTGATCATTTGTCGGCCTCCAATTCTCCTCTAATTTGAATATCTGTAAAGTTGAGTCTGCTCTCCATTGAGTTCATCTTTACAATCTCTGAAAAAGAACCAGGGAGGAAAAACAACTCACCTCAGAGTGTACACACAGACAGGACTGGGCTGTACTACAGCCAGGGCCTGTTCGCATATTGTCAGGTCCACACCCCTCCACCTGATACCTGCTAAAGCTTGGCAGACTAGAGGGACACAACCATCAGAGACAACTCTGTCTTCCACATGAGACCTTCAGAGTTGTTCTGTGTGACTCTGTGGCGCAACGGTAGCGCGTCTGACTCCAGATCAGAAGGTTGCGTGTTCAAATCACGTCAGGGTCAGTTGTATTTATACATACATCAATGTTGATGTCTGTATGCAGCCATTGAAGTGACAGTTTAGGAGACCTGTCACATTCATGCCTTTGTAAAAGCTCACATTGTGTGTATGGACAATTCCTCTATTATGGCAATTCCAAACAAAGTGCATATGAAAGGAAAATAGTTGAATAAAGATGTCTTTCGCCCTTGCATTGGTTTATTTTCCCCATACCACCCTATGCAGATACATCAGACACTGTTGTGTACATTGACTGTTACATAATCACGTTAGAGCGTTTAATCTGTGATATGTTGTCAGTAGTTATTTTCATGTTTGTAAACAAACCTGCTCTTAATTAATAGTTAGAGAAAAGATATGACCCCGACGTGATTTGAACACGCAACCTTCTGATCTGGAGTCAGACGCGCTACCGTTGCGCCACGAGGTCCTACATAGCAAAATAATAACACGATAAAATACTATATAACGTTTAAAGAAGAGGATGCAGTGGGAGAAATTATTTTTCCAGTTTGCATGTATGCCATCATTTGGATCCATAAATTAGACTACAATTATTACATAAAACACGGATGATATGCGACACACGAGACATTCTCTTCTCAATGCCCCCTTTCCTCGGACATGCGTCTCGTGGACACCTGAACACCACTAAATACCGCTTCATCTCCCCTCCTGGTGAATGACATTGTCTCACTGCGTTTTTGCCTGCATCAGCACCATGGACAGCTATCAGCTGCGCAACTGGCTCCACGGGGCTCGCCCTGCGCGTGCAGTGGCAGCAGTCGTGAACGCTGCGTAACGAACGCGCATGTGCGCGTGACGCAGTTTTGTTTGTTTGTTTTGAAGCAACTTCGAATTCGTTCAATTTAAGTAACTCACTTTTTTACCATTAACTTTGCTATATTTAAGATTGGGACCTGAGTGATTTGAGTCAATGTTAAATGTCCAATGTTAAAAGAGATGAATGCTGGGAAAGCTTTTCACACGATTGTTTTTTATGTCTGAATTCGATTTTTCGCTGCTTCAGTTACAGGTAGTAGTGCATGCTGGCTGGCTGTAACTGAATATAACTGAGCCATTGTTAAAGTTATTAATAACGTCAAAATGCCTGCCGTGAAAAAGTCCTCTTGTCTGGGGACACATCCAGTGGACTCTGTTCTGTTCTGTAGTCTCCTTGAAACTGATTTGTGATTTAAATGGGTTGCTGGAGACCCCTGAGCCAACTGCTGCGCTGCTGATGTCATGATGAGATGACTCGAGTCTCACAGCAAACTGCATAATCAAAGCCATTGTTGTCGTTGTTGGTAGCTTCACTGTGCTCCTTTGTTCCTCTTCTCAGTTTTCACCCAAACAGATCGAAGCCTCAATGTTTTCAAATTATAAATCCCTGCAGCTGCTTCACGGTAGAGGCCTGGTCGGTATACTGGTGTTATTGCACCCAGCTGTCACTAATAATACTGTCACATTTAGTCATCTAAATTCGACCAATTTAGACAGCAGATCAGCTTGATTAAAGCGTTGACATGTTAAAATCAGAAAAGCACCTGTTGCGTAGTGGTACAACTATCAGAGTACACGTTCCATGACAAACACCAGAGGACTGACATATGGATACACTCGACAAATGTTTACATAAAACCTTTCAGTGTTTTTATTTATTTATTTGACAAGCAGCAGGATCATGTTTGTCACCTCATGTTTTTTTTTTCTTTACATTTGAAAGTAGATACAATAGTCAGTATACCAGTTTTATTACAATATATTTTCCTAACTTCAGTACATTTAACAAAGAAAATTAAAATAAACACACAACAACTGCAAACGTGAGAAAAAAAAGCATGTTTTTTTTTGTTGTTTTTTTAAAAATGTGTAGCCACCAATGGTGTCATTGGTGGCTGCACATTAGCCACCAATGGTGTCATTGGTGTCACAACTCACTCTTTCCCCAAGTTTTTTCCTTTTTTTTTTTTTTTAACTTAATTTTTCCGGTCGATGTTTATCGGCTCTTCCCTCTGGAACAGCGATAGGCAATTTATTTTTTGTCGTTTTTGACGCACGGGGTGCGTGGCACTGGTGATGTTGTAAACAGCTTAAAAATCAGACGGTGGGTGGGGCCGGGGAGGAGGGTCTCGTGGGAGGTGGCGTTAGCTGGCTGTCGTGACGTTGACACGATGACCTTTTTCTTGTTTGTTTTTTTCAAAAGATGGAGGCACCAGTCCTGCCTTTTGGGTCACCGCGCGTAGAATCACAGCAGACAGCGACAGTCCAAAACCGAAATGGATGAATGAGTCTGTTTTGTTATTGATTTTAAACCTGCGTCTGCCGGCTGAGTGTTTGTGCGGAGGGGGCTCCCCCTACGCCACGTAGCTGTACTCGTCTGCCGAGGTCTGGCTTCGCTCGATGTACTGCTTGTCGATGAGCACCTCGATGCACTTCTTGATCATGCTGATACTTGGGTTGAACCTGGCTTTGGACTGATTGATGACCTGCAGAAAAACAAACAGCGGGTAAACAGTTAATCTACTGTTACAAACGGGGAAATCTCAACAAAAGGCTTTGAACACAGAGGACTTCCACCCACCTCCTGGATGAGGCCGTTGTGTCGGAGCACCTTGCGGGCCTTCATGATTCTCACTATAGCAGCTTGTAAATACATTTTGCGGTCCTCGTCCACGGCGCTCCTCGTCTGCTCCATCTCCTAATGGTCAGACAGATACGTTGAGGAGGTGGATTATGGGTATCGACATAGTAGCTGCTTAACAACAGGGCAACAGCAGCGCAACTCGAGGCGGTATTCAGATGAGCGTTTGTCTAACCTGTGGTGTGTCTTTCTGCATCGACGTGGTGATCTTGAACTTTGTCCTTTTACTGGTGAAAGTCATATTTAACGAAAACGTGGACTCGGTTTCGATCTCCTCCTGTGAGCAGAGGACTCAAATTAACATCAATGCTTTCCACACAGACAAAGACTTGACAAGGCAATCTGGTGCAAATAAACAGAAACTTCCCAATCAACACCCGTCACCACAGACAATTCAATTGCACTTGTTGCACATGAGCGCACCGACCTTTTGCGAGTCGTGGTTGAGCATCTTGACGTCCAGCAGGGACCTGATGGTCTTCTGTAGCTCCTTCTCGTTCATCTGGGTGCCGTCCTGCAGCTCCTTGTAGGTCACCGTCAGGCTGTTGTTGAAGGCCAGCAGCACAGCCATCTGGTAGGTGGTCACCATGGCGACATAGGGCTTGGACAGGTAGTTCATCTTCACCTCACCTGTTAAGAGACGAGCAGACACTGACGAGTACAATCGAACCAGCTACGTTACTATTCAGCCCGCTTTTTGTGAACATAATCATCATTGATTACATTTCATTTTTTCCTCCCTTCCATGATTGGACCAGCCTGGTTGTGATACTGTTGCTTTAAATCGTGTGTGTGTGTGTCTCTGTTACCTGTGCAGAGATAGTGCAGCCAGGTCAACTTCCTCCCACTGAAGTGCTGATTATAGAACAACTCAAACTGTAAAACAAAAGACAGGACGTTATTTAGCACTGTGCTCCTTTAACTCAGGATACACCTATACCTGTGATGAAACTCACCATCTGCACACTCTTCTCTAGCTCTTGAGGGATGGCGAATGTGGAGGAGGGGACGTGCGTGAGTGGCCAGGCTCCAGCCTGCAACCAACATGGCATCAACCACAACATTACACATTTGTACTGAAAAAACGACGCGGGAGCAGAAGCTGAAGACGCCCGGTGGAGCCAGGGTGGATATAGCGATACTCTTAGATTTGAATGCGTGAGGAGTCCTCCTCACCTGTAATACGTAGATCTGGAAGCTGATGCCCAGGTCCACCACCGTCTCCTGCGTCTTGATGAAGTTGTTGAACTTGTTGTTGAGGTCGGCGCTCACGCTCATGTCTGTGTACATTCTGTGCAGTTTGCTCGTGAACTCGTAGCCACAAGCTTGCTGTAACAAAATAAGATAAAATCAGGAGGAGAACGTTTGATATTGTTTCTTCTTTATGAGCCCTCCGTTTCAGACATGTCGCAAAGCTTAGTTACTAACGCTCAGCTTTGCATTTACCTTTAGTTTGTTGATCATGGCTTCTTCTGAGTCCATTGACAATGATAAACCGTGTATTAACCGCTTCGCTAGCATTCTGGCATAAAACTGTGGGAAAGAAAAGCGAGAACTTGAAAAACAGAATGTCTCCTTGGAGTATTTGGGGACAATAAGGACCCAACTAATGGACTAAACCACCCTCCTAGTTATGGTTTTAATAATACTGCAGCATCAGAGGAACTCTGGTCACCTTTTGAAAGATGTCCTTGTCGTCTATGTACTTGAACACCGTGATGAAGCTCGTCAGCTTGTCCTCCACCTCGTTCTCCGTCATTCCCTTTGCAGACTTTTTCAGCAGATTGTCACAGTATTTCGCCAGCTGCACAGACACACCAGGAGGGACACGACCTGGTCAGGGCACTGTGTGTAACACTGTGTGTGTGTGTGTGTGTTTGTATGCGAGCGTGTGCACTTACAAGTTCAGGGGCTTTACAGATGGACTTGGGCTCCCTGAAGTTCACCACGGACGTCAAAGCCTGAGAGAGAGACATCAAATAAACACATTCAGTCCAACTGAGAAAAAAACATCACCACGTGTACATAGTTATACTTTAACACATTTAGAACTGTAGTTATATGCAGTTACAGAAAGTACACAAGGAAAACACAACCTCACGTTTTCAATCTAGTAACCGTTATGAGTATGCCGTTCAGTTACCTTATCGAGTGCACTCATGAAGTGCTGATCTCCGTTTAGAACTGTGTTTATGAGTTGAACAAATTTACTGTGAACCTCCAGCACCGACTCCACAAACAGGGTTGGCATCTAGGGGAAGCCGGAAGAGCGAGACAAAAGGTTGCATTCAAATGATTTGCAGTTAAAACTAACAGACAAAATCATTATTTTAAAAGAGATTAAGCGGTCAAATCAAGCCGCCTTCGAGCTCCAGCGGTACAACTTGCAGCAGCTTGAAAATCCACGATACTGTACGTCCAACAGACACACACACACACACACACACACACACACTCACACACTGCTGGAGTACTAACGTTTTCCTGAGAGAGGTTACTGGTGCCTCGGATGCCCTCGTTGTGGATGTGGACCTGCAGCTCCTGGATCATGTGGGGCAGCCCGTTGGACACGGACCGCAACAGGGTGTACATGTTGGCCATGTCTGGACAAAAACAACACAAAACTCAATGTGTGTACATAGAACCATTTGCATCACACAAAAACAGATGCACGCATCAGGACACAGAGGGGCCCGCGCTGCACTGACCCTCTCTCTTCTCCTGCCGAATAATGCTCTGGCACTCCCCGTGCAGGAACTGCAGATGATCCGCCACCATCCTCTGCTGGCATTCATGGATGACTTTGGCATAGGAGCTGGGGTGCAGGTACTTCCGACATCTCATCTCTTCGTCTTTCAACCGCCCCAACACCTGGAGGAAGAGAAGAGGGACACTTTTTGTCCATCCATTCGGTTCCAACAGGATATTTCAGCACAGTCGCAGATAAAGATTATTGGTAGTATGATACCGTTTGTAGAATTAGAATCCAGTGGTGTCTGCGTAGAAGTAATGTGCCATTGGAACCGTCAAGCAATATAACATACTTTTAGAAAATGTTCTCACTTTGATATGAATAGGTTCAGATTTAACACAACACACACACACACACACACACACACACACACACACACACACACACA